GATGATCAAATCCAGCGGGAGCTCGACGGAACAACTCGAAATGTGAACAAAAACAAAGCCGATCGCCCCGCCTACACTGCGTTGCTACCCCAGGTCCTAAACTGTAATGGAAATGCGCCACGGCCTCGGACGGCCAGCGAGGTAGCCCGAGGCCTGAGCGAGGACGCTTAAACGGGGTAGTGTCTGTGAGAGAGGGAGAGAGAGAGAGAGAGAGAGAGAGAGAGAGGGACCGGTGCCAGCAGCAGGGACCGTGTTGTTAGCATCTGGTTAGCTAGCTGCACTAACGGACATACGGAGCTGTTGGTTCCACAACAAGCTGGAGGAGAGCTCTCCTCTCAGACTGAGAGGCTCAGGTGAGTGTTTAGATAGTTAACTTTAGTCTAAGTTATCTCAGTGGGTCTCAAACGGTTTGGTCACAAATTATTCAAAAGATTATTTCCGCGGCACACCTTCATATGATCATTATAGTTATAAAACAAATAAGAGAATAAAGGGAAAACAGTTATGAAATACTATATGGCAGTACAACAAGAATACAGTTTGAAAGGGGAGTGATTTGTAAAATATCCATAAAGAAAAAGAACATCTGCTTACAGTTGTGTTTCATCTGGGTGTTGAGAGAGATGTATCCATAGATCTCTTAATGTTGCTCTCAAAGTGCACCAGATTGATGCTTTTAACTTCAATATTTAAAAAAAAATCTTCCCGGGGGAGCATCCCCCCGGACCTCCCTAGAGGAGGTGAGGTCCGCTCCCCACTCGTAAAAAATAGCACTTTACCCCTGCTTATATGCCGTGAGCTGATTATTGAGCCTTCATTGTAACAGTCGCGGGTGTACTGTATGTTTGCGTGTGGGGATTGCTTTTGTGCGTGCTCTATAGTGCCCGTAATAGTGTTCACTGGAGTCCAGCACCTCAGCACCCCCACTCAAAATACCTTCCCGCGCCTCTAATTGCAGCCGCAGCATTTGCCGTCACTCAACAGTCGGCCGTTCACGGAAACAACCGATTATGACCGAGAAATTATATCATGAAAGTTACGGTGCTTATTAAGCTTTTTAAAACGTATGTGGTAACTTGCCAAAGTGCTTTGTTCTGAACGTTCATCAGTATTATAATTAGGGCTGTCAGTCGATTAAAATATTTAATCGCGATTAATCGCATGATTGTCCATAGTTAATCGCGATTAATCGCAAATTAATCGCACATTTTTTATCTGTTCTAAATGTACCTTAGAGGAATATCTTTCAAGTTTTTAATAATCTTATCAACATATGAGTGGACAAATATGCTTTATGCTAATGTTTATTATCATTTGAACAATGACAAATATTCTGATGAATATTAAACACAACAACCTCTGAACAGTGGCGGCACCAGAGTATTTTTGTTGGGTAATCTATGGTAGGGCTAACCCATACAGTGGTGGGGCTCAAGCAGTATTTGTAATGTAGTAACACGCTATATCGCACCCCTTGACAGTGAAACGCACGCGTGAGGCTTTTATTAGCTTCTATTAGTCGCGTAAACGCGTAAATGTGTGGCGGGGGTGTTTGTGAAAAGAACGGGGACAGAGCTGGGTTGCGTTCCGATAATCCAAAAATCAGCTCCTAAATTCTAACCCTATCTCCTATTCCTTGACCTCTGAGTGAAACGTCACGGGGTTAAGGGATAGTGGATAGGAGAATTCAAAAGGACTTAGGAGAAGAGACCGCGGTACTTTAGAGAATCCGAATGCACTTTCACTTTCCGACGTGTTTATGATGCGCCAGCGGACGTCATGAATGTGCGTCTGCTGCTGTGGGGAAACTATGGAAACTACAGTTTTCTATACAGCGGACTACAACATGGATGTTCAATAAGAACGAGGGACTACTGTAAACTCATCTAGAGACTCTGCACCGTGCTCTGATGCTGTTGCTTTATGCTTTATGAACGGGGACAACAGAGAAACAGATTCTTCAGGACCAAAGTTGGAATTGAAATAAAAAAGGAAAGTGAAACTTATGCTCGTCACCCTCTCCCTCCGGTCCACGTATGATTGTATGAACTATTAAAAGATCTTAAAATCATAAATGTATTTAGTATAAACGTTAGTCCTTAACATCTATCACTGTGTATATCACCATTCAAACATCTTTTAAAAGTTGAACAAACCCCACACAGCTCAGTAAAGACTGTGAGATGTTGACTTTATTTGATCATTTCAGTAAAAACTAACGTTCATATTTCTCTTTTTGATTATAATACTGATGAACGTTCAGAACAAAGCACTTTGGCAACTTACCACATACGTTTTAAAATGCTTAATAAGCACCGTAACGTTCATGATATCATTTCTCGGTCATAATCGGTTGTTTCCGTGAACGGCCGACTGTTGAGTGACGGCAAATGCTGCGGCTGCAATGCATTGTGGGGCAGCATTTTCTCCTCTCCTTTCGGTTAGGGAGGTCCAGTGGTTCCTAAGCTAAAGGAGGTTATAAAGGAAGTTTGAAACCTCCTTTCCTTTCATTTGGAGAATTGGAACGGCACTTATCATGGCTGCCACTGAGGTACTTCCGGGTCATTTCACTCCGTTAGGAAGGTTCCTAAGCTAAATGGACTATTGGAACGCAACCCCGCAGTCTCTTCTCTAAGTCCTTTTGAATTCTCCTATCCACTATTCCTTAACCCCGTGACGTTTCACTCAGAGGTCAAAGAATAGGAGATAGGGTTAGAATTTAGGAGCTGATTTTTGGATTATCGGAACGCAACCCAGGGCTGCAGTCGAATAGTCCATTTAGCTTAGGAACCTTCCTAACGGAGTGAAATGACCCGGAAGTCCCTCAGTGGCAGCCATGATAAGTGCCGTTCGAATTCTCTAAATGAAAGGAAAGGAGGTTTCAAACTTCCTTTATAACCTCCTTTAGCTTAGGAACCACTGGACCTCCCTCACCGAAAGGAGAGGAGAAAATGCTGCCCCACAATGCATTGCAGCCGCAGCATTTGCCGTCACTCAACAGTCGGCCGTTCACAGAAACATGACAGAGAAATTATATCATGAAAGTTACGGTGCTTATTAAGCATTTTAAAACGTAGGTGGTAAGTTGCCAAAGTGCTTTTTTCTGAACGTTCATCAGTATTATAATCAAAAAGAGAAATATGAACGTTAGTTTTGACTGAAATGATCAAATAAAGTCAACATCTCACTGAGCTGTGTGGGGTTGTTCAACTTTTAAAAGATGTTTGAATGGTGATATACACAGTGATAGATGTTAAGGACTAACGTTTATAATAAATACATTTGTATTTATTTTAAGATATTTTCATACAATCATACGTATTGGGATCATTTGTATTAATGTGGACCGGAGGGAGAGGGTGACGAGCAGAAGTTTCACTTTCCTTTTTTATTTCAATTCCAACTTTGGTCCTGAAGAATATGTTTCTCTGTTGTCCACGTTCATAAAGCATAAAGCAACAGCATCAGAGCACAGAGTCTCTAGATGAGTTTACAGGAGTCCCTCGTTCTTATTGAACATCCATGTTGTAGTCCGCTGTATAGAAAACTGTAGTTTCCATAGTTTCCCCACAGCAGCAGACGCTCATTCATGACGTCCGCTGGCGCATCATAAACACGTCGGATAGTGAAAGTGCATTCGGATTCTCTAAAGTACCGCAGTCTCTTCTCCTAAGTCCTTTTGAATTCTCCTATCCACTATCCCTTAACCCCGTGACGTTTCACTCAGAGGTCAAGGAATAGACGATAGGGTTAGACGTTAGGAGCTGATTTTTGGACTATTCGACTGCAGCCCAGATCTCTGTAGATCAGCGTTTCTCAAAGTGTGGGGCGCGCCCCAGTGGCAGGGCGCAGAGATGTGATAGGTGGGTCGCAAAATACAAAATGTCATTTTTTTTTTTTTTTTTTCACACTGGTGGAATATCAAAACAACGGCCCTGGGTGCAAAACGCATCAATGAAACCCTCTACCACACAAAACTACACCTGTAAATAACCCAATTTGTTTTCTTTGAAATTGAAAAGGATATTGCATTGTGTTTGTTACTTTTGTTGCAGTTGTATGTCTTAAGTGTAATCTGGCATGCTTTTATTTTGAAGGCGATTTTACGCTGTTGACAGTTGTTGTTGCTATGGAAACAAGAAACGTTTCACAGCGGGCGGAACTTCTCATAAAGTCCGTGATAATAAAGCCCACCCATTTAGAGGGAAGATATGATTGGTCAATTGTACTGTCATTTGACATTACTCTCGTTCAGTTACTATAGCTGGCCCTTTGTGAATTCATAGCTGGACGTCCAATCAGCTCCTGTCTTCACCTCGCAGAGATGAGCTTCTTTCATTTAACCCTTCACATTCAAACAGAAACTGAATAGGCAGATTCAAAGGATTTATTTCTTTGGAAATGTTATTTTAAATACAATTTAATCAAGTTATTATTGGTAAAACTAATGGCAAATATTACTAAAAACATATTTAAAAAATATATATAAAGAAAAATATATTTTGTAGAATATCTTAGGCCCTCAGAGACAGGCTCGCCACTGGTAAATATCTCTCATACACACATGTGAAACGCTCTCACAGACACACAACAGCGTTGCAGTCGGGAAGAAAAGCAATGTGGAGCGAGAGAGAGAGCACACCTTTATCTATTTAATAAAGTTGTAAAACATAAACTATAGGACAGTAAAAAGTTTAAAAGGGGAGGGATTAGTCAAATATGCATAAATAAAAAGAAAGCTAACTAGGTAACATAAGATAAGAATAAACAAGTTTAAATGATTTGTTGTGATCATATTCTAAAGATGTTTGGATTATTGAAAAGTATACGGCTCCCTTTCATCTGAGTGGAGAGCTGTATCCATAAATTCATGTTGGGCTCAAAGTAGGGCTGCTCGATTATGGCAAAAATCATAATCTCGATTATTTGGGTCAATAATTGATATCACGATTATTAAAAACGATTCACGTAGAACTATTGAGACATTTGTTTTTGCTAAGGGGATTTTCACAATCTTTTGTCAGCGCTGTAAAGTATTAAGATACATTTTGCAAATTTGTTTTGTAAAGGAAACATTTTTGCACTAGACACTAGAGGGCACCAAGCCACAAGCACTCATGCTTAGGCATTCACCATCCCACAATACAAGGTGAAGTAAAGACACAACCAGGTGGTAAATTCATGTATTTATTTCATTTAAAAAAAACTAAATATTCATCCGAGGACACCAGCTGCACCTGTAAGAACAAACACACATTAGTCACCAGGTTTAAGTTAATGTATAGAACAGCAAGAAAGCGAGCATAGTACTCGCCTGCCATTGTCCCCACTTTGGACTGACACGAAACCATTTGGCATTTATGTGAGCACTCGGGACTTGAGAGGAGCAACCTGAGGAAAGATGTAGGCCTGGGGTTCAGCCTGCCTCTGAGGGGCCACGTAGGCCCTGTTGGGAGCCTCGTAGGCCTGGTTCGTTGCTTGCCGCTGAGGGGCTACGTAGGCCTTCTTGGGAGTTTCGTAGGGCCTGTTGGGAGTTTCGTAGGGCCTGTTGGGAAACTCGTAGGGCCTGTTGGGAAACTCGTAGGGCCTGTTGGGGGTCCTGTTGGGAGTCTCGTAGGCCCTGTTGGGGGTCCTGTTGGGAGTCTCGTAGGCCCTGTTGGGAGTCTCGTGGGCCCTGTTGGGAGTCTCGTGGGCCCTGTTGGGAGTCTCGTGGGCCCTGTTGGGAGTCTCGTGGGCCCCGTTGGGAGTCTCGTGGGCCCTGTTGGGAGTCTCGTGGGCCCTGTTGGGAGTCTCGTGGGCCCTGTTGGGAGTCTCGTGGGCCCTGTTGGGAGTCTCGTGGGCCCTGTTGGGAGTCTTGTGGGCCCTGTTGGGAGCATTGTAGACCCTGTTGGGAGTCCTGTTGGGAGTCTCGTAGGCCTTGTTGGAAGTCTCGTAGACCCTGTTGAGAGTCTGCTGCTGGGGAGCATTGTAGGCCTGGTTTGTTGCTTGCCGCTGAGGGGCCACGTAGGCCTTGATGGGAGTCTGGTAGGCCTGCTGGGGCTTCCTGACACTCACTTTCTCCTGCCCAGGAGCCTTCATTCGTCTGATAGCATAGCCACCAAATTGATCAGGGATGATGTGGGTCTTGGTCGGGGCTAACTTCTTACCAGAGGTTCCCTCTCTGGATGATTTGGAGTCGTAGCTCGTTGAGTAACTGTGAGGCTTGAAGATGGGACCATTTCCTACATTGGACTCAAGAGAAGTGCCATAACTTGAGGCCATGGAAGTAGCCTTGTAGCTTCCTCTGGCATTTCCTGCATTCCCTGAAAACAGTTTACTCTTGTATGGGTTCACAACCTCAGTCTGGCTGGGGTTTTTAGGAGCTGAGGGACGGGAAGGTTTATCCGTTTTAGACACTAGCTTAGCACGAACACTGGAGGAAGTTTTGGTCCGTGCAGGGGTTTGGTTTGGCTCAGGAGCACCGGCACCAAACAGGCTGGAAGACTTCCCCGTGTCCTTGTTGCTGCTCTTACTCAGAGAACCGCTACCGACAATAGCACTAGAAAGGCCATGAAAACGCTGTTTAGGCACACGATTCAAGTTAGGTTTTGACACTGAGCTGCCCTGCACTAACCTGACTTTAGCTAAGCCACTTTTAGCTGGCTGTGAAACAGTTTGTGTGTAGCCACCAGTAGAAGGCCCCCAGCTAAAACGACTGGCCACAGCTGAAGGTATGTTTAAGTTTCTGCTTTGAGCCTGTCTGAGTCGATTCTGGAGATAGTTGACACCAGCTTCCCGATTATTTTGCCTGAAGCCAACATATGTGTTGTTGTTCTTGCTCTGAGCTGCTAGAGAAAAAGAAAAATATTAAAGCCACAGCTATAGTCATTCACAGCACTTAAGTGAAATGTTGTGCTTAGCTCACCTTGTGAAGCCCACAAACAGCGCACATGCTCTGCTTGAACCAAGACAACAAGGAAAATCCTGCACAGAAAATATGTAAACATCAGAGAACGCAGACAGCTAACAACAATTAACTTTGCATATCTGCAGAAACTTACCCCAAATGAACTCCACAAGTCATATTTCTCTCTCTCTCTCTGTTCCAAGACAGCAGTAAAGAACCAGTAGCCCCGAAGTGACTTGCTCTGCTTGTCTGAGCAGCAGAAAGGAGGCTTTATTGCAGCTTGCAGCCAATCAGGGCCTAATGAGCTGATTGTCTACAGGTGCTGCTGTGCTGTCAGGGTGGCAACTGAGTGCTGTTGATTTTCTGATTTTCTGTCACCTCTGAGTTCTTAAGTCCTCAGGGTAAAATGAAGAAAGTGAAAACAGAAAACATTTGGGATTTATTGAAGTAATTGGAGAGCAAAAATATGTTTTTGTTTCACCCTGTTGTTACATTACATTACATGTGACTTGTTAGACGCTTTTATCCAAAGCGACTTACATACTCAATACTGTGGACAATCCCCACAGGAGCAATTTGGGGTGAAGTGTCTCAGGGACACAACGACATGTTGACTGCAGTGGGGTTTGAACATGTGACCCGCTGATCTGAACACCAACGCACAACCCACTACACCACACGCCTTTTTTTGCTTGTATTATGGTACTGTTATTGGTTTTGTGAATATCTTTAGGACAAAGAAAAACAAGATTCAAGTTTGAATGTTCATTTGAGTTTTTCTTTTGTTACAAGTCCTTTTTGTTGCCTATGGTATTAGAGACTGTGTGCATGTTTGTCTGTCCTGCTTTCAGAATAATCATATATACTGTTATGTGCTCACTCCGTCACAAACACATGCGTTTTAATTAAGATAAAACAATTAAATACACTTGCAAAAACAGTTTTAGGCACGCTACTTCTGTACTTGTGTTAAAGTGTGTTATACTACATTGGCTGTTTGAGTAAACCATTCTTGTGATATGATTGATTTAAGGGCGGTGCGACACCTCTGCCAGCGAAGGTGGAGGCTGTTGCGGCTTTTCCCTCGCCCGCTCACAGCCAAGCCCCCAGGAAGTGCGCCGGAGTCTGATGAGAATATTCATAGTGGCCAAATGGCGGTACTACACTTCCGTTTGGTTGCTGGGCCCGGAAACACTTTTTCCCATTGACTTACATTGGGAAAGAGTGGTCTGTAACTCGTTGGATAATTTTTTTTAAACTAAATAAACAACCCAGTATGAAGACTTGTATAGCCCTTATTAAAAACATTCGTTCCTCAAGTTGTAAAAATTTGCTAATAACGTTATTCTGAGAGTTATTTCCCTCGGCATTATGAACGCGCATCTAACCCACGGGACCGCCTGCCCGGCACGTTCATGTGATGTGACGTATTCAGCACCTCCCCCTTCACACGCGGTCACGTTCAGTGTTCACTGTCATGTCACTGAGGCTAAAGAGACAACGCTTTACAGTCTATGCTAACAACCGACAACAGTTTGCTCCAAAAGGTAAGATACGAAAACATATTTATTTTCTAACCTGCCTCCTTAATGTCTGTATGTAATGTAACATGTTCTCATATAAAAGAGTAAAATAAGCCAAACCACTCATCAGCAACCGCTACTGTGGCTAAGCTAATGTTGGGTGTTTGCACAGTAATTTTCCATACTTTTCATAGTTAACCAAAATGCTAGAAATGTATGCATGCCAGCAGTTCTGCAATGTTAACTCTGGATGCATTAGCCAACTTTCTAGAAACCAGACTTTGCATTTATAATTCGTTTTATATATATATATTTCTATTTAAAATCTATAAATGTGAGATGAAAAATCTAAAAATGACATATCTTTTTCACAACTAATTTCCAATGCAATGTCCCTACCATTGTAAACGACGATGCATACAGAATCTTCAAGAACACATATTATTTTAAAGAGGCGTGAAGAGCTAATCATTTGTACTTTATTTATAGATGGCAGAAATAGCCGGATCGTCATCCAGAGAGGAAATGCTGAAGGAAAGTGGGCCTCCCGCCATACTTGGACAAGGTGCTGTATAGTTTTTATAAGAATTTGTATTCATTTTGTTTCAGTAATTTTTTGATTGCATACCCTTTACTTTCATATGGCAAAAACAAATATATTGTACCTTATTTTTACATCTGATAAGTGAAATCAGTTGATTGTGACCTTATCACAAAAAGTCAGTGACTTGATACATCCTGCTTCGTAATAATGCATGAAATCGTCATGCATTATTTAATGTAATATTAATATATAATCTTAATCCTTATAAAGTTTCATCATGATTCTATATACAAGTATAGAGTTATATGTAATATAATCTACAAATTAAACTTGTGTAGTCTTAAAAATATGATGAAAATGATATGACAACTCAGGCTACATGTACCGCCTTTTTCTAAAAGATGATCACCAGTAACCACTTTTTCCTTTTTCAATATATTTTATTCTATCTAGGTCCCAATGTGTGGATAATAGGGAGCAGCTACATTAGACGTGGGGAAGAAAGAGCCAGACACACCATGGGAAGCAACCTGGGTCTCAATTGCCGTGTGTGGTGGTTTGGCAAGGGTGGTCTGAGGTGGAGGAACCTTCTTCCCTTTTTCTATTAGTCCTTGAGAGGAAGAACAGTCCCGGATGTCCTGCTCATCCACTGTGGCGGCAACGACAACAACCTTGGCAACATCAAAGGTGTGGAGCTTGTCACAGCGATGAAGCAGGACCTGCTTTCCCTCAGTGACAACTTCTCAGAGATGAAGATAATTCTATCTTCTATCAATGAGAGATGTCACTGGAGGAAAGCCAATCCGGGAAAGCTGAACAAGGCCAGAATGTGGGTGAACAGAGAGATGGGTAAATGTGTTAGTGGTTTGGGTGGAGAGAGTGTAAGGCATCCTTGCATTAAGTTTGACTGCCCTGGCATATTTCTAAGAGATGGAGTTCATTTCACCAATTTGGGAAATTATATGTTTTTAAGTAACCTTAAACAGTCCCTTGAGGCTATAATCTAAAGTGGTTCTGCATTTTGGATTCTAGCCTCAACAGGATATGTATATTTAACAAGAATAACTTATAGATTTGACAGGGCAGTCCTCCTTGTAAGGATGTCTTCACTTACTCACACTATTTTTTTTAAATGTGTCATTTAATTAAATTGTTCACTCACATTCTGTGTTCTTCCTCTCTCTTAAACTTTAGTCCCCTTGTCTTTTTCTCTCTTTCCTTCACTCATCTTAGTCCCCTTGTCTTTTTCTCTCTTTCCTTCACTCATCTTAGTCCCCTTGTCTTTTTCTCTCTTTCCCTCACTCATCTTAGTCCCCTTGTCTTTTTCTCTCTTTCCCTCACTCATCTTAGTCCCCTTGTATTTTTCTCTCTTTCCCTCACTCATTTTAGTCCCCTTGTATTTTTCTCTCTTTCCCTCACTCATCTTAGTCCCCTTGTCTTTTTCTCTCTTTCCTTCACTCATCTTAGTCCCCTTGTCTTTTTCTCTCTTTCCCTCACTCATCTTAGTCCCCTTGTCTTTTTCTCTCTTTCCCTCACTCATCTTAGTCCCCTTGTCTTTTTCTCCCTTTCCCTCACTCATCTTAGTCCCCTTGTCTTTTTCTCTCTTTCCCTCACTCATCTTAGTCCCCTTGTATTTTTCTCTCTTTCCCTCACTCATCTTAGTCCCCTTGTCTTTTTCTCTCTTTCCTTCACTCATCTTAGTCCCCTTGTCTTTTTCTCCCTTTCCCTCACTCATCTTAGTCCCCTTGTCTTTTTCTCTCTTTCCCTCACTCATCTTAGTCCCCTTGTATTTTTCTCTCTTTCCCTCACTCATTTTAGTCCCCTTGTATTTTTTCTCTCTTTCCCTCACTCATCTTAGTCCCCTTGTATTTTTCTCTCTTTCCCTCACTCATCTTAGTCCCCTTGTATTTTTCTCTCTTTCCCTCACTCATCTTAGTCCCCTTGTATTTTTCTCTCTTTCCCTCACTCATTTTAGTCCCCCTGTTTTGTTTCTCCCTTTCCCCTCACTCATCTTCCCCAGCCTCACCAGCCTCACCCAGACGACGAGACGGCGTACAGAGAGGAGGTCGAAAACCTGACATCTTGGTGCCAGGATAACAACCTCCATCTCAACGTCAGCAAAACCAAGGAGCTGATTGTGGATTGCAGGAAGCAGCAAAGAGAGGGACACGCCCCCCATCGCCATCAATGGGACTACGGTTAGAGAGAGTCAGCAGCTTCAGGTTCCTCAGTGTCCATCACGGACACAGCTGCATCACGGCCCTTGTACGGCAGCTGCACCGCCCTCAATCGTAAGGCTTTCCAAAGGGTGGTGAAAACTGCACAGAACATCACCAGGGTGGAGCTGCCATCCATGGAGGACCTTTACTCCCAGCGGCTCAGGAAGAAAGCCCTCAGTTTATGTTTATGTTTATTTTAGAAATGTTTTGCACATTTGTTCCAATTCTGCTAATGGTATATTGCAGGATATTTAAGTCTCCCATGTACTTTTTAAATTAATAATAGTATGTTCATCTTGATGTTTAACTTGTAATATTGTAATCATCTTAGTTAGAAATGCTGTTTCCACCCCATCCTCTGCTGCTGAATGATTTTATATATTGTTACTGAAAGTGCTTGTCTTTGATATTATAATGATTCCACCAGAAAGTCACTCTTTGTGAGATTTATTTGTTCACATTTTTCCCAGCCACAAGATGATGTTCATTCATTGGAGGCCTCAAAGCTGGGTGAAGGTATTGATGCACGGATCAATGCAATCCTTTACAACAGCATTCCACTATGGTTGGGGATGTCTGTAAAAAAAGGAGAAATAATCTTAAACCAAATAAGTGTCGCAATATAGGGAAACAAACTGACAAAAACATCAATTAGATCAGAATACATTTACATTGTTACAGCAGAAAGAGCCAAAGACAGCCTAATGTTACTTAAAGTATGCATAAAAAAAGTATTAAAGATTCAAAACAAGAAATTATAATTTAAAAAAAATACACATTTCACAAAATACACATCCAGCAACAACAGTTTGGAGGATTTAGCAGCCTGGTATATTACACAGTTTTTAGCGGCATATTTATATATATATATATATATATATATACACATGGTTGGTATTTAACAACAAGGGGTGTTGTACTGTGATATTGGTATTTATGGGAACATTTGACACCTTTCCTTCAAGTATTATACGTTTTAGTTACTTGTGGGCTACTTAACATGAATAATCACAGTTACTATCCTTTTACTCAATCACATTTCAAAAAGAAATAGGATATTGTTATTTTAACTCCACCAC